TTCATTCTCCAGATATTATTCATGGAAATTTTACTTTTTCTCTGCTGACTGACTCACTGTCCCATATTCCTAAAAATGTATTTAATACGAAATAAAAAGTCGTACCTCTTTAAAATATTTTAAAAAGAAATTAATTGATAAAAAAGAATATACCAGCAAAGAAGCAACTGATGTTAGGTATTCACATTACCGTCATTAATATCTAATGCATATGGGTAGTCATCAGGGCTAACTATTCATGTTACTTTCATTATTAGATGATGCATGTGAATGGTATAGGAATTATTAATATTGGTTGATTTTTAACAGCTCTAATGAAAATATATATATTTATCTTTTCTCTTTTTCTTGTATGATATTATTTGCTTAATAAAAAGCAGCTCTCTCGCACTATCTCTTTCTCTCTCTCTCTCTCATCAAAACCAGGATTAGGCCCTTCATAACATTTTTTCTTATTACAAGAACTAATTTATATCAAAATTTTTGGAATTCTTTACCAGAATCTCCCTCCATTTGATGAGAAAAGGCTTGGATACTATTGTCTGTTTGTTGTGAATGATTCCACTACTTTCTTCATATGGGAGTGATAAAGGAAGACAAAATGTCCAGATAATTAAAAGAGATCTTGTTTTAAAGATATTCAGTTACTTCTACCTACTGTACTCTGCTTTTTGTTATGATAAAATAGTTCACGTCAGACCAATCCCCTCACTGAAACAACCACCAAAATGGAATAAAATCAAATAAGGGTTTCAAACTTTTGGAGAGTGATAAGGAAAACTGGCAATAACAGTTCGTTATTTTGGGGCACACATTTTCTGTTTTCCTTAGTGGCATTTACTGATTTGTAAACATCACAGAGATGATCAGTTGGACAGAAGGCATTAGAGTAGGACTTACAGGGAATAATTTAAGATTACATTTTAAAAGAGAAGATCCATTTTGAACTCCTTTGTTTATCTACAAGAATAATAACATAAGAATACATAGTAAATCAAGAGAGAACTTGATAAAGCAAAATACTTCAACATTATAGTGAATTATTTTAATAGACACCCCTGAGTAACTAATAAAAAACTAAGAAACAACAAAAAGACCAATGAACAGAAAATTCTGAGGAACACAATTAACAAACTTAACCTGTATTTAACGTTACAAATAATACATTTGAAACATACCTTCCTTTGAATTGCATATAGACAATTTGTAAAAGTAAGATCTCTTAAAAATATAGCAGGGCATAAGCCGAGTCTCAATAAATTTCAAATCACTGAATATGCTGTGTAACATTGTGGAATTAAGCAAAGAATTAGATAAATTCTGTGCCAAATTTAACATTTAACTAGTAGATAAAGTTTTATGATGGTTTTAAAATTTAAGATTATTTGATTAAAATTATACTGGTTTTAAAACATAGCACAAAGGGTTGATATGCAATCTAGATTCATTTGCTACTAAAACCTTCCTACTAAAGTGTAACAAATTTCTTTATATACTAAATTTGAAGACTAGTGTTTTATTACTTCATTAGTTTTTTTCAGAGAGCCTTTATTTATTAGAACATTGCTGGTATAGGACAAAATTTTTAAAAATTTATTTGAAATTCTCGGAAATGACTAAAATGGCAGGGGTGATGAGAGAGGCTCACAAACTTGATGGAAGTCAGAAAAGCAAATAATAGTTATTCGTAAAATCTTGAAAGACTATTTTCCTATTTTCAAGGTTTGGAATGAAAATACCTAAGAAATTCTTATTGAATCATACATACAAAGTTTCAGAGAAACAAATGCATTATGTCCCAAGATCACTGGGCCCTCATATCCAGTTATCTGGCTTCTCTTTCAGGCATCACTACTTACCCTCATCATAACCCAAGTTCCCCACGTGTGTGTGTGAAACATCACTGAATGTAACATCTTCCTGGAAGTATTTTCTTAAATATCATTCTTTACTATGAGAGTGCCCTTTCAACAACCAGCCAGATATAACAGTTTTGAGGGGAAGTTTAACATTTTGCTATATGAAACCATGTTCATTAATCTTTTTCTGAAACACACATTGTTAAAAATACAATGCAAGATAGAGAAATTTATTCAAGAAAAACAGGAAGTTACGAATCATCACAAATTATTGCATAATATATTAGGATTTTCAGTCTTTCAGAAGTATTCAGTCTATTCTGGGGCCTGGTTATAAACTTCTGTTATAAAGAAGTTTTTTGATTTTTCTGTCTGTTCAGCCCCTTAGAGACAGAGGGAAAAAAATTCTTTCGGATTTAGAGCAAGACCTTTCCTTGGTTTAAAAATAGCAGTTCTAATTTTAGTTATTGATCTTGTTTAATGTGTAAATGCCTGGGAGCTGGAGATGTAAAAAAATGATGCAAGAAGTTATAAAATCCTTCTTTTTTTCCAGAAAAATTTATTTTTTGTGAGAGTTTAAAACAAATCTTGACATGATTTTATTCAAAATAAATTTGTACAGATTTTCTATCTCTTATTATTCAGAAGCAGATTACTTGGGTCATGCATTACTATAGCAGCTTTTAGTATTTTTCAGCATGTGAATACATCATTTCTCAATAAAGGTAGACAACAACTTATATCTCAGTCAAATTACCTGAGATTGAAATGGTCATTTAGTGCACCTCTGTAAGCTATGCCCATCAGAATCTGATTGTCCACACAGTCTTCATGAATGATGTACAGTAAAAATCTGAGAAAGACTGAGCTCAAGTCATTTAAAAAGTTTTACATGTAGAACTTTCTGATTTAGATATCATTGCATGTATTCAGAATTATAGAAAATACTAAAATAGTGCAATTTTTTGTACCATTTCTACTTAGATTCAGTATTTTTCTATCTGAAATTCATCTCATAGTAATTTTTCACATGCTGCCTAAAATTTAACCTTACTGTAAATTGCTGTTTTAGGTAAATACAGACTTCTAAATATGTAATTTAAAGCTATTTTTCTTGAACACCTATATGATGACCACATTTACAAAACAAAGGAGAAGTTTTATAAATATGAATTATTTTAAAATTAGTTTAACTGAAATAGGTATGAAAACAGTATTGAGTATTGATAATTTGACAATTGTTAATATTAAGAAGCCTGATATGAGTTATGGATTTAAGAAAAAGCTTTTAGAATGTTATTAAAGTGATGACTTAGCTTTCGTAAAGGCTTTTAGATTATTCAGACTGAAAAATATATGCAAGAAAAGTGTAGCTGAAATTCACATGTAACAAGATGATAAAGGAAGGGAGGAGAAGAGAAAAATTAAGGAAGAATATGAAATTCTAAGCAAGGATACAAAAACAAATAGCTCTCTAGGTTTTATATGATTCCACATTTAAAAGAGCAGCTTTTTTTCTCTAAAATTGACATGTTACTAATTAGGAATCATTTTTTGTTTTCACCCAAATTTTCTATTAGATATAAGCTGACCGGTCTCCATCTATCTTCCAAAGCTATTAAACCTTCCTTCTTATTTCAATTCTTTTTATATTTTAAACATCTATTGAAGATAATTCTCATTTTATTGGTATCAATTATTTGATTAATTTTAATCTTTAAATCAGTGTGTCCACTGAATTTTATTTTCAATAATTTTATTTATAAAAATCTTTTATTCTTTTCTAAAATATTGCTTCCTTACATCATGTCACTCTCCAATTTATAGTGTATATATTTAAATGTGTATGCAGCTTCTTTTAGTTTGTAAATTTTGTTTTCTATTTCTCTTTTGAGATTCCTTCATTTAGGCTGTAGTTAGTGACTTACAATGTTTTTCTTCTGATTTTGTCAGGAGCAAGAACTGCTCTCTAAGGGAATTCATTTTCCCCAAATTTATATGTAAGGTTTAAAGTTTTCACTTTCCTGAATCTTAAGAATGTTTCTAGTTGCATAGCAAACTTTGTATCAATTTTTCAGCTTTGGGTTCTTTACTATCTTCAAGTGCGTACTCTGCACCCATATGCGTTGCAGAACCAAACTTTGAATTTGGTGAACATACTGCCCAGTTGCAGATCTAGAAAGCGAAGTCTGTGAATGGCTTTCGTAGACTGGTAGACTGCATTTTTTTGCCATTTGATATATGACATTTCCTCCATGGTTCTAAGCTTTATGGAAGGCAGCCAGGTTCCCATTCTTTTCCTCACATGTTCTTGAGTCTTATCTCTTGTTGCTACTCAAGCAGCAAACTCTGGAATTCAATATTTCATCCTGGCTTGACAGCATTGGAAACCACTCTGGCTTCATGAGTGAGTCTGTCATTTAAAATTCTCTCTTTGTATCGACATGGAGATTCAAACCCAGTACTGCTTTCTGTTAACAAGAAAAATGTTTAATCTTTCTATGGATCGGAAATAGCAGAAAATTGTTCTTTCACATCATCTTGGATAGCCATGATGATCTGAGCCTGAGAAGCTCCTCAGCCTCTTAGATAAATGTACCCTTTTTCCTGATCTGTTGTCTTGTTTTCCTAGGCAGAAATGAATAAAAATCTTCTGGGTAGCTATATGTAGTCTCCTGATATCCTGATTTATCACAGTATGTATTCTAGCCATACTGTTTATTCTAAGCTTGATATTTATCTTTCATATGTTAAATTAGGAAACTGTGCAGAAGAATACATGTATATGCCTATAGCTTATATACTACATATACATCTTGGTTATTATTACTGCCAATTTAAGGATAAGAAAAAGAACATATACGTACCATTTATCTTACTTATTTGTACTTCAAATTAATCACTAAAAAAGAATTTTTTTAGTCTTATTTTTATTATGCTGATGAAAAATAGAACCTATTTTTTGCCCTGAGAAAATGACATGGGGAGAAGTGTAAGCAATCCTTCAGAGACCATTCTTACATATATTTAGAGCTTAAGCTACAATGTATTTTGCAGATTCATCTATGCTTTCACTCTCACTGGCATTGTTTATGTTCATAAGCATTAATTAAGTTTAAGTTGATTCTGATATTTTCACAGCTGAGACGATGGGATACCTTTGGATCCCTGGAAGTGATACCTGATACTGAATTAAAAACAAGACCACTCGCAGTGGTGGCAGAAGAAGATTGTGAATTTCTCAAAATTCCTGCAAAGGACTATGAAAAGTTAAAATTGGTAAGATGTCCAGATCCCTTGTTTTAATTTTTTTATTCTGGAGAAATAAAAATGTGCCGTCTTTGGTTAACATCTCTCAGTGTCTGCTTTTGCTAGGTGGTTGAGATGAACACAGAGTTCTCTATAAATATATGTTATATATGTTCCTGATTGTTCTTCAGATTTTTTATGAATTTTAAACTCATTCACTCATTGAGCAAATAGTTATTTTTAATGACAAAAGTATGTCATGGACTGTAAATAGTAAATGATAAGACTGATAGTAGTACTACTGTTCTCCAAATTTCTACAGTCTTAGTCTTACTTCCAATTGGCTGATGTGCTGATTCACAGTAACAAGAGACATCGAAACTCAACGCTTCATGAGCAGGTGATCACAATGCAGTTCTGATGCCTACGGAGTGATGGTTTAAACTCACTTCTGTAAATTTAATTATTTATTGCTATTCTAGTGACATTTCCAACCTTTCCTTTCTCCTGTTAGTATTCCATTGAGGAAGCTTCTTTGAATGAAGAGATTAGGAGTTCCCCAAGGTCCTGCTCACCCAGCTGCTTTTACCAGGCTGTAGGCCTGGTGGTAATTATGTGTATGTTCAGAGCTATTGGGCCAGGTGTTACTTTCTTCCATTAGGCCTCTAATGGTGGGAATTTTTTTTGATTTGATGGTATCATTACCAGTGTTGCAGATGACTTTCTCAGGATTCAACTTTATTTTGAATATCTGATAACAATTTAGTTCAATTTTTGGAGCGTTGTCTTTAAAAATATAATCTATCATCTTATTTCATAATTTATCAGTATCACTTTCTTGATATTATCGAACATGTTTTGAATTTGGTTTTCTATGATAGGGTTTTTCACAATGTTATTATTTATAGAAGCTGACACATGAAAGAAAGATATGAGAATATAGTTTTACTGACCAGATTTGAAGATTAAAATTTCAATATGGCTATGTGATCATGCAGTGAAGACCCAATGAAACACTGATACATACTGATTTGTATATGCATCATTTTTCTTTCTCTGAAATTTCTCTACTTGGTTTTTTCATTTATTTTAAAATTAACTGCCATTGGAAATTTGATTGTGACACTTTTTCAGGAAAAAGAAAGACTTGAAAAAATACACAAGTTTAAATTAATCCGTAAGTGTCCTTATTATGAGGATTGGCCTACTTTATCCATATCTGAGCTAACTGCACTTATTAAATGGAAAAAGTTTCCTGAAGGTCATGGTGAGTTTGATTAAACTGTAACTTATTTTCTTTAGATAGCATTATATTATATTTTTGGGATTTGTAATTCTTTACTGTTTTAATATTTGTAAATAATGTTTCTTTGAATAGGCAACCTCTAATGCTTACCTTTGAATTGGACACTTGGATGGTTTCCTGTGTTTTAGTACAAATGACATTGTGTTGATTTGAGGTACAATTTCAGGTATAGCCTTCCTTGCCTCTGTCTCTCCAATTTTGTCCTATCCTAATATTTACATTGAAGATTGTATTGAAAAAGAGGAAAAGTAGATGGTCATTGTTATTTTTATTTTTGCCCATCTTCCTTGTTGGACTACTACTTACAAGCCAATTTGCTAATCTACATCTGTTCTACCTTTATCAGTGGAAAAAATAACAATTACAGGTTGAGTACACCCTTATCTAACATGCTTGGAATAAGCAATGTTTCAGATTCAGAGGCTCTTTTAAATTTCTGAAAGGTTGCACATATAGTGTGAAACAAGATATACTGGAGACAGAATCCAAGTTGAAACAAACAAGCGTTATTTGTATTTCATACACAACCAGTTAATAATTTTGTATAATAGTGTTGAATGCACTAATATGTTGAATGAATCTTGTCACATGAAGCTAAGTGTGGAATTTTCTACTTGAGATCATGCTGGCGCTTAAAATGTTGTGAATTTTGGAGCATTTTTTATTTCAGATTTCCAAATTAAGGATGTTCACTTCTACAGAAATTAGGTGAGGCTTAGCTAAGAGGAAATAGCAGTACAGGAGGTATTTTTCAGTATTTAATATGGCAGTGATGTTGGGGGTTCCTTGGGGTGTGTACAGAAATGTGGAGGCAGTATTGAGACATGCTGCTGAATTTTCCCGCTGGGAAGAATCAACCAAATAAGGAAGTCAGCACTGAAAGAACTATGGGGAGGAGGATCAGGGATTTAGTATCCTTCAGCAGGTAGCTATTGCCTCTCAGGATTGGCTGTAAACAACAGAGATGATTGTGATCACTCCTTGCTCTCTACCCAGTTCAGTATTAGAGGATATAGTACCTGGATTGTATTGAAAGAGGAAGTATTTCAAAGAAATATTGCCATTCCAAGTTTCATGGTCACAATTGTAGTTAGGAACATTTTTAATTTAAAGATTAAAATTCTATAAAATATGGGGTCTGAATATATATTCTACACACTTTTGTAATAGTAGGGAGAGGTCATGAAATCCAGCTAAAATATTCTCAGAGAGAATTACTAATCACCAGAAAAATCAGAGTCATCTTAGCCCTGAAGCAACTAGTTCTTTTGTTAGAAAATAGTATATATCAATAAAAAAGTTTACATTTCAAAGGGTAAGCCAGATTAATTTATTGAGACCAAATTTTTCCCATATTTTGAAATTTCTTTTAGTATTGTATTTGTATATTGTTTATCATTTTTGAACTATAGTGTTTAGCCCATGATTACATTTCTTTCTTATAAAAATTGAATATTAGTAATATGTTTTAATTCATGAAATATTTTTCTGAATGAGGTAAAAATGTCTATTCTCAATCGGTATGAAAGGTAGGAAGTAAAGTGAATTATAAAAATGGAAATTAGCATTTTAAAATTCAGCATATTTGTTTAAAAATGTGTATATTTTAGATTTATAGGTTTATTCTTTGAGTCACAAATATTAAAATTTATTTTGTGTACAGGTAGCCATTATGTACAAAAAGAGTACCTTCACCTTTCCAATCTATATTTATATAAATATGTGTGATGTTATTATAAAGGGAAAAATCATATCTAAAATTCTGTAATCCAAAAGAATATGAAAGTTGGAAAAAGAGCACGATTCTGTACTTTTACTATGTTTTGTTGCTATTAATAATCTCATAATGTGAAACTGATATAAAACACTTAAATTTAGAATCAAAGATTAAAAGGTTATAGACACAAAACATTATTCCTTAATTTTTAGTTTAATAATTTTTGTTAAATGACTTGAAGAGCAATAGGAATTTGTTAATCTATTGAATCAAAATATCTATGATTATAGTAAATAACTAAAAAATATATTTTCACTGAATTCTAAAGGTACAAGTATTTATATTCATACAGTTCTTGGAAACATTTATTCTTTCTAGAGAAAAATAAAGTTTCACCCATGGATCATGAAGAGCCCTTTCATCTCTGAACTATTATGATTCTTATAACTAAACATATGTAGGTGAAGAATAGCCTGTCAAACTAACTTAATTTTCTTTTATGGTAGTGACAAATGATATATTAAAGAAGAGCATAAGTTTTAATGCTACTTGAATTTATATGAAATTTATTTTGAATTATCAGAAAATGTAGTTTTGAATTATTATTATCAAAAATGTTGAGAAGGTAACTCAAATTATACGTTCATTATTTGGTTTAAAATGAAAATTTTCAAATGATGATCATGTGTGTTCTGATCTTTTTTAAACAATTTATATTGAATAAAATTTCAGAGGGATTTAGTTAATTATTCAAAAGCTTAACAGAGTTTAAACTTAATCCTTGGCAATCTTTGAAACAGTCAGACTTGCTTCTAGCTCTTTCTTTTTGTTAACTTCATAAATATTTCTACCTTTGATTCATGTGCCAAGGGCGCTTGACTCTCATGGATGCGTACAATGTTGAATTTCAGAAATTTATATCACAGCCAAAATCTTATGCCCAGGTATTTTTCTTCTAATGTGTGGCTGACTGGACCATAACAATTAGTGATTGCTTAATTACCTTGTTCTAATCTATCTATCTATCTATATTAGAATATATAATTTATTAATCTAATATATTTTATATATATGTATCTGCCAAATACTTAGATACTTATGTGTCTTTCTGTAGCTATCTTGCATCGGTTGGTAGACTTTATTTTTTACTAGGAGAATTTTATATAACAAACATAGTAATTAGAGAAATTGAAAAATTATCACAGAAATCGGTTTAGTTCTAAAAGACAAAATACATGAAAATAGTAATGACATATATCTGATCTTCCTGAACCAGGAGTGAAGTGTTTCCATACAGGATAAATATTTGGAAGCTTTATCTAAAGTGAACTTGAAGTTCAGGGGTCTCAATATCCAAGCTTTTTTGCAAATTAAGTTAACCTTGCAGGTGATCAAAACTCTTAGTCTCAAGGGACACTCTTGTGCATCTCAAAATCAGATTTGTGCCTAAAAGTAATATTGTTAAAGACCCTGGGGTCGTGACATCATTTTGTTTTTCATCCTTCTTTTACTGGCCTCTTTTGCTTACTTAATATTTTTAATGTAATATATTAATTTGTTTAATAATTTTATTTTACTAGTTTTTTATTTTCTTAATGAGTGCTCTAGAAATTATCATATAATTCTTAAGTTTTCTGAATTTACTTGAATTTCTTTTACTAACTTCCAGATATAAAAAGTTACTCTTATATTGTTCTATTTCTTTTTAACAGAAGAACAGTGTCATAGAGTTAAAACTTCACCTCATATCTAGGGATCAGAAGATATTCCTTGTAAATGAGAAGATATTAAATACTTTAAACTTTGCATAATATGGTTTTTTGTGTACATTGCTATTCTTTGCAAAAGCTTTTAAAACCATAAGAACCATTGTTAACTGGAGGATTATACAAAAATAAGTCTTGGGCAAGATTCCGCCCCCTGCTTGTTTTCAAACCTGTGTTTTGCCTACGTATTTACTGCTCTAGAAAAAGTTAATGGCTTAAGGATCAATTTTCTTACTAGACTTCAAATTCTCTTTTGGGGGGGCCCAAAAAAGTATTTGAAATTTGTAGGCCTTAGAAAAATCTATTGTTAATGAGTGAATTGTATTTGAATATTAGTGTTTCCCCTGAGATCAAAGTTATAAATCCATTACTCTGAAAAGATGTTTTAATTCTTCCCTGGTCATTATATATGTGTAGAATTAATACATAGGATACATTTTCTCCATTTGAAGAAATGGTATTCACTTATTCAATTTTTCAAATACTGAACATACTTTTGGTAGTAAACATACCTTTATTAGTATCTTGGAATAGAAATTTAAGAGAATAGCATTATTGCAATACACTGACAATTAAATATTCTAGAAGTGTTTTAAACTCATAATCCAGGTAAAATAAAGCAAATTTGGATTTGATACGATATTGAAAAGACATTGTTAGGATAGTGTTTTGCACAACAGTTGTTGAATGTTAAAGAATATCCCCGTAGTCCATTATTTTGATTAAATCATCCATAGTAAAAGAATTTATTGAATTTATCAATTTTAATCATTTTTATTCATTATTTAAAAAACTCACATGCAGAAATCTTTCTACTATACAGGTTAATAATAAAGGGAATTACCAACAATAAATGTAATTATAATATGTCCTCAGATTATTACATTTTCTTGTCATTATGCATATTCAATTAATATCACTTTAGGAGGCAATTTCTGAGAATCAGAATGCGTGGCATTCTGTCTTAAAACCTCTAGCTTGCTTACAAGGGTTACAAAAGCTGAAGAGTACCACTTCTAGAAATCTTTGTAAAAGTTTTGATTTTCATAGTAGCCTGAGTTCTGGCCATCAGATATTCTCAGCGAGTTTGGGAGAAATCATCAAGCATAGTAATTGACATGGTGGTTCTAAGGCCCAGCCGTACAACACAAGGGATGACGTGAAGCAACAGGGGGATTTCCTCTAGGAGACTTCTGTGTTTGACTGGCCTTTTGCACTAATTGGCTTTTTCCTCTGCTAGGTAGTAGTAAAATCAAGTTTCATGGGGCTGGGGATTTAGCTCAGCAACATAAGCACCTGCCTTGCAAGCTGGCAGTCGTGAGTTCGATCCCTGGTACCGATAAAAAGGAAAAAGACAAAAAAAAAATCAATTTCATGAGCTTCAGGAATAACTACTTTCAGAACATACTCACTAAACATTTATCAGTATTTTATTTTACATCTACTATGTGCAAAATATTATTCAACTGGCTTTTGTG